TTTCCCTCCTCATTAATTCTCTTCCTCAAAATTTTTCAAGTTACGGCCATTTTAAGAAGACACCAAAATTCTGATAAATACCCAAAACAAAAAAGTGCTATAGCCCATGGTTTTTTAAATGGCTCCAAAATCACCCCAAATTTTTATTACATTTTCTGATACATATTGATGCCCTTATGAGAAACTGTTTAATGTCATCCTCGATTTCATCATCCATTAGAGATTGTGTAATTTTTAACGACCTGGGGGCGAAGCCCCCAGGTCTTTCCTATAATCATATAATTGAATTCACCATCGCGCTATGTATATATTTATTTGTATGCCCACACTTACATTTCTTCTATACACGTTGTATTGGAGAAATAACAAGCCTTAGCAACCACCCGCCCACGCTCCTTTACGTGAGTGGGTGTGGTCACAGCAAACAAAATGGCGGCTTACACATGGGACAAAGCTAAGAGCTTTCTAACAGCAAGAGAGCATAGAGATACTGTCTAAAGACTTCTCTAGAAGCATTATAAGGTAGAGAGAACCTCTATAAGTCTTAGTAATGACCAAGTTGTACTTGCAAGGTGGTGAAATCAATTATAGGAATATTTTTACCCTGTTACGCTTGTTATGTTGGATCCATATGGATTTACGGTGTCCGCCCACGCAAAATTCGCAAATATTGATGTTCATCATTCATAGCAGTCATCGCTCCCTTGTTAATAATTTTCTATTGACTTTCATCCAGACATTTGTGCTCATAATGTGCTGTATTTAAAAGCCTCAAGCCTGGCTTCCTTTTACTGCACTGCTGGAAGAGATTCCTATTCCTCTCTCTCTCTCTCTCTCTAGTTACCATATTTCATTCAGTTGTGTAAAGATGAAGTCTGGGAAGTAGTTAGAAAAGTAAAGAAACATTTTTATCAATTTTTTATTTATTGCTGTACTGTTGTTATTATAAAATACATTCAGTATATGTCATGTACATGTAAATGAGTGGATGAGTCCTTATTGTTCTCATTAGGCGTGTGCTGATGTGTTCATGGATGTGTCTCTGGGTTGCTCATTATTATCAAGACAAGAGAGACTCACTCCAGTCTTCTTACACTTACTCAAGGATGACTCAAGATGGGTAAGAGAGAGAGAGGGAGAAAAGAAGGGAGAGGGGGAGAAGTACATGTACATGGAATGTATTCATGTGTAAACTAAAGAGTAGTGACTTGTATACAATCATGATAAGAGGACATGCACAGACTCATGTGTACATGTAAAAGTGGAAGGAAGAGGTTCAGTTTTATTTGAAAGTGTTCAAGTTGGTTTTGTGTCCATCTTTGACCACCTTATTCTTTAGTACTGTATGTACACTTTGAAATGCCATACATGTACTGTATTACTGTATTGTATTATCCATTCTATATTGTAAATGTACATGTACATGTACATGTATCTTGTTCCTTTCCCTCCTCATTAATTCTTCCCTCCATTAGGTACGTAAAGCTGCCTATCAGTACTTAGGTCCATTTATATCAACATTCTACACTCCACCCACTGAACAATCAGTAAATGATGCATCAATACAACCTCTCTCTGAATCAGAACTATTAGACAACTCGTTAACAGGACTGGTTGGAGCCTTGACGCTCGTAACATCCACGACTTCCTCAGACACTCAAACTGTGACGAGTGTCGTTTCGGAGGTAACCACGCCCACAAAAGGGGCGGAGCCACACATACTATCGCCACTAATGATATTCCACACTCCGCCTAAGAGCAATCCTTCTTTATCATCGCCGACCGAAACAAACGAATTCAATTCCTTCCAATTTTGGCAACCGCCAATTTCGACCCTTCTCCCCTTAAAAGGAGAGGCCAGTAATGGAGGAACTGGGACTAAAGACGTGGGAACGGGTCAAAGGGATAATGATGCGTTGAGCGTGGATTTATTTGGGGGCGTGGTTGCCGGAGGGGATGAGATAACGAGACGAGGGGAGGGAGAGGAGCTTGATGATGATGATGATGATTCCGACGGACTTAACGATATTAAGGACGAGTTGTTGGCGGAGTCTGAAGGGGGCGTGGCTAGTGGTGATGGAGGCATGGCTAACGAGTTTACGAGTAAATTGAAATTGATAGAGTCTCCAATTGGGTCTGTGCCAAACGGGTTTCCAACGGTAGGTGTAGTTGAGAAGATACATGTAATATAAGGCCTTTTCACACTGGCACAAGTAATGCGCATTGATGTGCATTAATCGTGTTCACACTAGAGTGGTTTTGAATTAATGCGCATCACTCTCACTTCACCTCCAGAGGTGGATTGATGTGAAGTGATGCGCTTCGATCAATGTAAACCAATGGCAATAAGAACACAAAATGATACATACATGTAATTCAGCTGCTAGTGTGAACACAATCAATGCGTATTATTTCAGCTGTATCAACAAAGCGCATCAAAGCGCTTTGAAAACTGTGCCAGTGTGAAAAGGCCTATATTTTAAAATTGATTGTAAAGAATTTTATACTAGTAAATGTATCTAGAGTTGGGTTGGCAAATTTGGAGTTTGCATATGCATGTACGTGTAACTTTTTGCTGAATAAAACCCACTAATTACCAAAAATTTAGCAATCAAGTGACTGAAATTATATCCCCTCCAAATTACCAGCTACATGTACATATGTACTAGTACTTGTGTTCTATGCAATCTACTGTACGTGTGTCATACCTGTATAGCACTTATATTTTGTGGATAATAAATTTCGCTAATTTTGTGGAGGGTTAAAACTCACAAAATTAAATTACATTGAAAATCTCTTGGCTACAACTTAACTTGTTCAATGAATAAATAAATCATTTCGCAAAATTTTTATTCACAAATGCTTAGCAGGGAAAATTAGTGAAATTTTATATCCACAAAATACAAGAGCTATACTGTAGGTTAGAATGTACATCATATATTTTGATTAACATTAATTTTGTACATATTCCAGGTTCGTGTTTTCATTCAAAGTGCTAATGGTCAGATTCATGAAGAACAGACGATGACAGGTGGATCAGGGGGCGGGACCTATGGTTGTCATAGTAACAGCACCCCGTTCAACAGGATGGATGTTACCAGTCAATCAACTGCCATGGACATGACTACAGTATTTGATAATAACACCACTATTAATAATGAACCATACTTCACAGCTGGACTGGAACAGGTACCATATACATGTAAAACTACCAAAGGAAAAATACCCAAGGCTATAACCCATGGTTTTTTCCAAAAAATGGCTCCAAAATGACCCCAAATTTTTATTACATTTTCTGATACATATTGATGTCCTTATGCTGTGTAGAAAGTTTGAGCTGATTTCGACTTTGATTTTTCAAGCTACGGCCATTTAAAAAGATCGGCCAATTTTTGAAAAATACCCAAGGCTATAGCCCATGGTTTTTTTCAAAAAAATGGCTCTGAAATCACCCCAAATTTTTATTAAATTTTCTGATACATATTGATGTCCTTATGCTGTGTAGAAAGTTTGAGCTGATTTCGACTTTAATTTTTCAAGTTACGGCCATTTTTACACCTACACATACATGTACATGTGTATGAGTACTTACAACAATAAGAAATATATTACTACTAAATTCTCTCCTCCTCTCCAGGAGATAGTCCCAGATGAGCTGATAGAGATGTACCTAGGTATGGTGGACCTGAACAAGACCCAAAGTGTTGATGTGGACCTTCCCCTCTATTGTGCCTTCTCATTCCCTGCAGTACTACAAACCCTAGGACCCAACCACTGGTCACTACTTAAACCAACCTTTGATATACTCTCCACTGACATGCAGGTATGACATTATTCATACTGATATACTATGTGTAGTACATGTACATTGTAATTGCTTTGGGCCAAATATGACATTTTTTGAGCCAGTTTACTTTTAAAGAATTTAACAAAAATTTTACATGCAAGTGCAATTCTTTTACATGTATCGTATAGAGGGAGATTTGGAGGGAGTTAAATTTGGCAAATTTTTGGTGTTTTGATAGCCATTCACCAAGATAAAAATCTGGCATTTTGAGCCATTATACACATGCTCAATGGCACATGGCCACAAATTTGTAAAATTAAATTTGCAAATCACCAAAATTTAGCATTTCACTAAATTAAAATCCCTCCAAAATTTCCTTATATACAGTATTTTGGGGCAAAAGTAATCTTCTCTAGGTACATGTACATGTACATGTGCTACATTTTCCTTGTTAAATTATTTCTCTCCCTCCCTCCAGTGGAAGATCAGGCGGGTCCTAGCTCACAGTATCCATGAGATAGCTCAGATGTTAGGGTCCAATAGAACAGTCTCTGATCTGTTGTCTGTAGTGAATGAGTATGCTACAAAGGACCTTGATGATGTGAAGACTGGAGTACTGGCTCATCTATCGGAGTTCTTTGAGGTACATGTACATGTACATACACTGCATTTGTAGCTGTAAAATGTACATGTACTATACATGTAAATGAGAGATGAGAGTACATGTACGTGTACGTGTACATGTACATGTTCATACATTACACTGACTGCATTTATAGACAAATTGAATTATATAAATGAGAGATGGGAGTACACATACATGTACAAAATGTACTATATCACGTGCATGTACATGTTATGTGCCAATTAACAAGCGTAACAGGGTAAAAATATTCCTATAATTGATTTCACCACTTTGCAAGTACAACTTGGTCATTATTAAGACTTATAGAGGTTCTCTCTACCTTATAATGCTTCTACAGAAGTCTTTAGACAGTATCTCTATGCTTAACTTTGTCCCATGTGTAAGCCGCCATTTTGTTTGCCGTGCCCACACCCACTCACGTAAAGGAGCGTGGGCGGGTGGTTGCTAAGGCTTGTTATTTCTCCAATACAACATGTATAGAAGAAATGTAAGTGTGGACATACAAATAAATAAATAAATAAATATATATAGATAGCTGACGGTGAAATCAATTATAGGAACGACCTGGGGGGCTACGCCCCCCAGGTCGTTAAAAATAATAAACTAATAACATGTACATATATATCTTTTAAAACGTATTATATTAATATTTTCCATCATTAATATATTATTTATCATTATACATGTACATGTAGATGTTACCCTCTGACGTTAGAAAGGAGAACTTCCCCTCTATATTAAACGGGATCCTGGACACTGAGAATGAGAAGAACTGGAGATACAGGGACTCACTGGCCGAGTAAGTGTACATGTACATGTACATCCTCTTCTTTATATTGTGCGTCTTATTTTGAAGGTATTATATTTTTTGGGAATTTCATTGGTCAGGCCACGTTCCGTTTAAAAATAGAATTAAACAGCACGCTTAGTAAAATAATAACATTGTGAATTAAATTTGGAAAAATAAAATGTACGTTACATGTATGTTATAGTAATGACAGACAGACAAAGAAATGCTAGCGAATTGACATTTCGAAATTTTGTGCACCAAAAATGCTCATGTATTTTGTTAATTGCTATAAACTAAAATTAATGTACTGAACATCTACTACTTCAATGTCTTATCTTTGGAGTCCTTTTTTACTGAATCTAAAGATAATGTGGAACTAATACTTCTCATACTATTTGATCCTGTCTGATATCCACTGGATGCTACATGCAAATCAAATTGACCTGTAGGGGCTTCACCCATTAATGTACAGTACTGACTTAAGTTTCATTATTGCCATTATACAAAGAAAAATATGAGCAGCAGTACTGCTAGTGCGCAATGAAAATATGATCTAAGGATGGATAAACAATAAAGGTACTTAATAAATTAATGTGACCATGCCCCAAAGTAAATGTGCATATGTGCTAGAGGCTATACTTTGAAAATTATGATTTTGAACTTGACCAAAAGACTTACATGTATATAAATACATTAGCCAACTTTACTACAAACATAAATTTTATTAATATTGCTAGAGTTATTTTGTAAGATACAGTGTATAAGTGGGAGGAGACATTTTAAAATTATGACTCAGCCAGGCAAGGAAAACTAATCCAAGGAGATCTCCTGCTAAATATGGCTAGCGAGAGCACTGCAATGTATGTACCTCACCTCCAATGTCACGTTATTAAATTGACAGTTTAATTTTTTAGCAGCAAAAATGTACATGTAAATTTAAAATTGTTGACTGTCACACTTTACATATAAGTAATGTTTATTAGCAATCTACATGTACTTCAATCTACATGTATATCAAACAAATCCTCTTTTGTCTTCAGGTGAGGATTAGCATTAGCTTGTAGTAACATGTGAATGATTGAAATGTAATTATATTTTCTTGCCATCATTAGTGCAGTCGATTCTTCATTGTCCTGAATGTCAACATTAGCTCCAGCAGACAGTAAACTGTGTACAATGTCCTCATGTCCTCTTTCACAAGCTAACATTAGTGCTGTCTTGCCTTCTTCATTAGTATGATCAATATTAACAGTTTCTAGTTGAAGAAGAAACTCTACTGCTTCATTATTACCAGCTGTGACTGCCTCAAGAAGAGCTAGTTCAAAGGTGAAGTTCATATTCTCATCTTCTATAAGGACAGGATGATCATTAATGTATAAACTAAATATACCAATGAGACGCATAAACTGTAACTTTTTTTGAGTATATTCTATTAGACTATCAGCCGTAGAACCATAATATACAGAATACTTGATGAGAATACATCCAGAAATGATTGTAATATATTTCATTATTGACTGCTGGTGTCCAATTGGAAGTAAGTTGTGGATAAGTAGAGAGAGTCCATTGATGTTGCTACCATGCCATTGATCATGAAGCTTCATTGAAATCATTGGCATATTTGATGTATCTGCTATATGTCCTTCATATATTTTGCTAATCGCTTCATTAAGTTGTTTGACTTCAGCTGAAAATCGAAGTTTATCAGCTTCTTCCTTGTATTGTTGTAATTCACTGACAATATCCAATTTGTCATCACTTCTAAATTTGAAGTTCTGTAGAAAGACTTTGCTCATATCCACTATCAGGTTGCAATCAATAAAATCATAAAACGGATAAATAATTTTAAAAGTTTCATCTAATGATGCATTTGTTAGTTTATCATTCGGTTCACTCCAATGCATATAAGCCTCAATCCATCTTCTTAAGTCAGTGAGTAGCTTAGCATCTGAGGCTACTTTTTCATCAAATGCTCTTTGCACCTTTACCATTAAGCTAGCAAATTCCTTTTTAAGCTCTATCAGTGAATGCAAAACGTGGTCTTCATCTTTTTTTGTCTCAAACATTATCCGTGTAGCACCAGCATTACCTAATGTATTAAGATAATACTGTATACCGGTTTATTTTCGCAAATTTTGCATTTTTACTCCGTCTCAAATATTAAAATTGCAAAATTCTGCATCAATCTTCATTGCCACCTAGTGCAGTTTGCAACCTATTTATTCCCCAAAATCTTAGAAATGCAGAATTTACAAAAAAATTTCACTGCAAAAATAACCTGGTATACTGTATCAAGAGTACATAACATTGATAATTTTGATTACTGATAATTATACATTTAAAGTACTATTATGCTGACAAAAACAGGTAGATCACTTTCAGCCACCCTTTATAAAGTCAACCTGGGTGCATTCAGGTTGCCCGAATTAGTGATTGTCAAATTAACCTTGGCTATAATATGGCACACACACACATACACACTGTATATAATTGTTGTACTAATACCTGGTACCGTACAAGATGATTTATTGGCGAGAATATTTGGCAAATTTGCCTGTGGAAAGTTAATGGCAGATTTTATATTGGTGATTTCTTCATAGACTGCCATTCGCCAATATTAATTCCTTGCCAATGAATCATCTTGTACGGTGTATCATCAACTGGTGATGGTAGTACAGCAAGTGAACTGACATTAACTGGTAATCTGGTGCACACACAATTTAAAAAAAATTGAAACAATGTCTAAAATAATTAACTTACCTATTATACATGCTTGAAGTTCAGATTTTGCTTTGCCCAGTTGATCAGGATAATTTTCACACAGTTTTATTAATGTATCCCAATTGACATCTCTATCAGCATCAAACCACCTCTGGAATACTTTAATAAGATTGTCAGTTGCTGTTCCTGGTATTGGCATCAGATCAGACACATTTACATTCAATCCATTCCCTATTAGCATGTAATGGGTAGCAAAAGGGGTAAATATCCTCATGACTGCTGCCATGGTAAGCTTCTTTTCTTTAATAAAGGATTGATAAATACATAAGGATTTACTATTAGCACTATACATACCGGTTGGATCTGTCACTTTGTCTTCAATAGTTCTAGCTAGTTCATTCTCTTTACATTGTTTCAAAGCATTAATGACATCTCTCCATGATGCTGTAGGATTAACTTGTAGCCAACTCTTATGTAATGCCTCCATCCTGAGGTAAGAGCTTCCTTTCATTTTAATAATATCAACATCAAGTTGTGTTATCCCACCAGGAAGACAAAGAGCAAATGGTTCCCAATCAACAAGTGGTTCGAGATATCTTGCAAAAAAAGGACAAGTTGGTTGATCATCAATCATAGGACCAGGATTGAGTTCAACATCTCCTGATAAGAGGAGGAGGAGAAGTAAAACCAAATAGCAGATCAGGTCAGAGCTACTGCCAATAGTAGTTATAAACAAGACTAATGACTGGAGGCAGTGGATCATAACAGTAACAGAAATTATACCTATTGTAAATACACTGTATGATAATATTATATACTGTTAGTTTGTTTGTTTACCAGTTGGAGGAATAAAACTGAGCTTCATGTATCTTAATAAAGATAAAAGAAGAGAAAGAATAAGAGAGAGAGCTGCTGGCAGTTTAGATGTCTTCTCTCCTGATGTAGTACTGCCTGACTTGCTGTCTACTGCAGCTTTGAATGAGTGAGAGTGGCGCCCATTAGCTGGTCTACTGGAGGCAGCTTGACAGTAGTTCCACAGTCCAATACTTGCTCTCCATTGAGAAACATCAGTCATCTTGTAATATTAATTATTATAAGACGTTGCAACAAATGGAATAGTTCCCAAGACACTAGCGCCATAAATAGGACAACAGACAAGTGGGAGTGTTGTCATCGAACTCTTCGACCATCATGTGACTTAACTGTACATACAGTTATTATTATCATTTCAGTAATAGTGCTAAATTTGGTCTTGCATAATGTACATTACACAGAACATTAAATTACTTTGTGTAGTGTCTTTGAGAATTCACACACACACACACACACACACACACACAAATGGATGTTTCTACATACTGGTTTATTTTCATTGTGTTCAAGAATCCTGCATTCTAAGAGTTCGTGAATAGCTTGCAAAGTGCACCAAGTGGCAATGGAGATGCAGAAATTTGCAATTTTAATTTTTGCAATAGAGAAAAAATGTGAAATTTTGCAAAAATAAACTGGTATATGTTAATTGTGATAATATCCAGAACAATATACAGTTTACAGTAGAATTTTAGACTAATAAACTTTTTCTTTATGAAATCTTGATGCATTGGAATGTGCTAACTGATTTACTGTCCTTCCCTTCCTCTATTGTATGCAATACTGTTAGCTACCTTTCATTCACAAGTGATCAGTTCATTCAGATCCAATGGATGTATCATCACTATATGCATACATAAGAAAGTCAAGGTTCTGTAACTGTTGTAACCACATCAATTGATTGATTTGTTTTACTTATTATTATTTATGATCTTTCAGTGTTAATGTGTGAAGCAGTTCCTAGTATTATTTCACATTCACACTAACAATTAATAAATTCTTCATATCTGCTGAATCATTCTTAAGCCTCATTGACATGTGTACATCAATTAATGGCCACATTAACTTATTAAACTATTTCCTTTTTTGTTAAATTGGCCATTTGTTTATACTTAATACTTTTCATTTATAATTATAATAGAAGTGATGTGACACTATGGCAGAGCTGCCTCATAGTGTCATGTTGAGCTCGCTCAGGCTCACCCCAATAATAATCCTCCTATCTGTCAAAATGAAGAGTTTAAGCACTGTATGCCCACAAGATGATTTATTGGTGAGGAAGTAATATTGGCGATTGGCGGTTCTATGAAGAAATCACCAATATAAAATTCGCCATTTTGTTTCAATCTGAGCATGCTCAATGGCATGTGGCACAAAATTGCCAATATAAATTCACCAATTTCTTTCCACATGCAAATTCGCCAAAATATTACTTCCACCAATAAATCATTTTGTATGGTAGTCGTTTTTGTGGCATCTTGTTTTTTTTTGTGAACCACAAAGATAGCCAAGAACTGCCCAAACAAAATATTATAGACCCAATCTATATTATAGCATGTAATTTGTCTGCTCTTCATTAATAACTGGGACTATCATTAAACCACATCAATTGATTAATTAGCTATTCATTTGTTTTTTATTATTATTCATACATCTGGCAGTGTAAATGTGTGAAGCAATTTCTAGTAATATTATTTCACACTAACAATAATTAATACATTCATATCTGCTGAATCATTCTTAAGGCTCATTGACATGTGTACATCAGTTAATGGCCCATTAACTTAATTAACTAAAGTATTTCTCTTTATGTTAAAGCGGCTATGGGTTATACTTTTCATATTTAATTACCGGTGACACTGATGTGACATGATATGACACTATGACAGGTTTATTTCCTGCCATAGTGCACAATTAATGCTTTACATGTCTCTTCAATTTACCTCTCTCTCTTTCCCTCCCTCCCTCTCTTTCTCTCTCTCTCCCCCTCCTCTACAGACAGTTGATGTTATTAAGTGAATTATTTGATTGTTCATTTGTTGAGCAGTTCATAGTACCAGTGGCTATTAGACTGGGACATGATAAAGTAGCTCAGATAAGAGACTCCGCCTCCAGACTGGTTAGTGCATCCATCCCTCTATTGGTTACTCTTATTATCATTATTTTATTTATTTTATTTATTTTTGTATTATTTATGTACATGTACATACACAGAAGCAAGAGTAGATCAGGGGCGTAGGAATAGGGGGGCAGGGGGGCAGCTGCCCCCCCCACTTTTATTGACATGGGGGCTATGCCCCCCCCCCCACTTTTAGTTCACTGGCTTTTTTGAAGATTACACCATTTCAACTCAAAGCATATATACCAATAAGTACTTCATAATGATAATGCACCAAGTCATACAAGTCAATTTTAATTTCCCTTAAATGCATGGTTATAGCTACCAGCTGAACTAATTCAAGTTGGAAAGAAATATTTAAATTTTAATGTGAGAAATTGCAATCATTGTCAACTGTGTGCGGTGCCTGCCCCCCCACTTTTCAATAACTTCCTACACCTATGTAAATAATAATTAGAGGAGAGTGTCCTACTGTGCATATACCCCCTGCTTCATCACATCGTAGAATTGAAGAGTCACATTCAGGATATTTCCGTATTTTATTTGAGTAGTTATACTTAGGCAATTCAAACTAAATTACTTGTTTTACAGACTTTTTTTCTCTAAAATAGAGCAGGCCGGTCGGAATAAATTAAAATATAAACAATAAAATTAATTAACTACTCATTAATTAACTTTAATAATTGTTAGTTAACCACAACTTTTTAAACAAACTATCAAAATACTCTAGCAACTTCTGTGAGTGTAGGCTTATTTAACATGAATGGCTGCTCTAACAAGTCCCAAACAGTAGATGCCACAGAGGTTTGACATACAGTGGAAGGTAAGATAGAGGAGCTTGCTCTTTTAACAGTAACAAATACATTTAGCGCCATTTTGAATCTAGCCACACCCACCACGTGGTACTGCGCATGCGCATTAGAAAATTTTAATTTATTTTGATTTTCCAAAAATTGGAGTCGGTCGGATCCGTAAACCAAGTAATTTTATTGGAACTGCCTTATTGCTATTTATTTTTGAATAACTACTCAAGAATACTGAAAATATCCTGAATGTGACTCTTTAATTCTACGACGTGATGAAGCAGGAGGTATATGCACAGTATAGCTAGGACACTCTCCTCTAATTATTATCTATACTCTTGACAGAAGTATGGAAGTTAATGGTTATACATGTACATGTTAAAATTACCATATAGTGTCTTTAATTTGACAATAATTTATTTTGGTTATTTTGCTGCTACATGTATTTTTAAAATTAATTTTGGTGATTTTATATTACTATGTACATGTACATTAATGATTGTTAATAATATATTGTAGTCATTATTCTGAAGGTATTTTTATTATTTAATTCTATTTACTATTAAACTACATGTACATGTACTGTATATCTTTGATCATGATTATGTACCTAATCTTTTACTTTCTTTAACCGTCTTTCATCTCTCTCTCTCTCTTTCTCTCCCTCTCTCTCTCTATCTCTCTCTCTCTCTCTCTCTCTCTCTCTCTCTCTCTCTCTCTCTCTCTCTCTCTCTCTCCTCCTCCTCCTCCTCTAGATTGGTTCATTATTACACAAGTTCAGTCAGTCCAGTCCAACCACATGTTCATTGATATTGACTCAATTAAGAACATCATTTGCTACCAGTGAGAGATGGCTACTCAGATTAATGTAAGTCACATCACTAGATATTGCAGTATTGTTATGATTTTGTAACTTTAAAAATTCATAAAAAACTAATTTTGATTGGAATCAGCTCAAACTTTCTACACAACATAAGTACATGTATATGTAAAAATAAAAAATTTTCTTGGAGCCATTTTTGCCGAAATTTAACCAATTAGCGTAACTGATGATCATATTAATTTTTTTATCAAACTTA